CATTCCGGATTATGGGTGCCCGAATTAACGACTTTTGACTGTATATTGTTTTTAAATTTCTCAGTTTGTTGCATATGCATTAATTTTAGGAAAAAGAAATTAAAAAGCATTTGCTGTACAGAACTGAGAATAAAAATCTGCTAAGTTGTGTAAAATGACAGCTATCATAAAATAAAAAATTTATTGCATGGTTTATTAAGCAGGTCATGTTATGCAACCAGCCTGCTGATATTGCAGTGTAACATAATATAAAATAGTAAATGAAAGATTGTTATAGTCATTTCTAATGTTAAAATAAAAAGTGAAAAAAAAAAAAAAACATACCTGCTTAACTTCTTCAGGTAACCCTTGAGGAGGTGTAGAAGGTGCATTGCGATTTAAGCCTCTCGTGACCGCTTCGTACTCTTTAGCAACTCTGCGAGCGTTCATGTAGTCCCTACTCCTATCTTGAATCATTTTATCAGCTATGATAGGATTAATACTCTGCAAATGATGCAATAAATATTTTAATGCTTCCAAAAAAATTATTATTTTAAGCACTATTATTTTTTTAAATAAATCAGAAAGCTCTGTAGAATAATCAGCTTAAATAAAATAACAATGAAAATATTTTAATTCATTTTCATTTTTTTACCTGCTCGTAGCTGACATAATCTTTCCAAAGTTGTTCAATGTTTGTCATAGGGTTCACAATGCCTCTCTGATAAACCTTCCTCACAGCTGTTATTCTTTGATTTTCAGCATAACTTCCAACAGCTTCCCTACATGGATAAAAAATGTTAAGAAAAGAGAAATATCACTTAATGATTGCTTCTGAAAGGAAAACAATCCACTTCAAAACTCAAATCAGTTATTGAACATTGTTAAATGCATCATAATCTAGTGATTATGCCTGGTGCTATCTTTCATCGAGTGATTAAAGTATTTGGGCATGTACAGTGTTACAGAGCTTGTAATTGTGATATGTTTTAGACAACATAGTCTGTTAAGAGAATTCAGGTTAAATGTTTGGAGACAACAAAGCAATTAAAAGAAATTAATATTACACTGTACTTACTATTATAACATATTCTTCAGTTTCATGAAGAAATTCAAAACTACAAAATATTAATTAATACTTTGGATCAATACAACCTCTGACTTTCTTGAGTGAGTGTACTCCATACAGATGGAGGTCGTCACATTTATTCAGTTTGATTCATTCTAAATTTTGGGGACTGCTAATCCACTGAGCTCTGCTCACATGGGTTTAAATTACTAATTCTTTCTTAAAATTATGGAGAAAATTATTGACAGGCATATTAGAGAATACCTGGGTAATTACAATCCCTTGTATAACCTACAATTTTGCTACCAACCGGTAAAAAATCTACAGAACTAATTTATCACTTGTTTCTAGATGAGACCCTGGATAGAAGGCGTTGTCTTGGCACTTTTTTTGATAAACAGTGCTTTTTATAATATTCCACATATCCATGTACTGCTTTAAGAGACCCTGGATAACATTTTTATTCACTGCGCAAAAAAGGGGACAGTTTTATTCTCCTGTTCTCCTGGCCGATGACGAAATTCAAATTGCATTTTCATAGCATTTTCGATAGGTATTTTGCACAAATCGGACTTTTTCTGAATGATTGCCTATTTTGTGTCAAAATACCTATATTAGAACAATCCTACATATAAATCTAATATATATCTTAAGTCGCACTTCGAGACATGAAAAACGCAATTTGAATTTCATCAATCAGCCCAGTAGAACGAGAGATATAGAACTGGGAGCGGCAGTGCGGGATACTTGGGGGAGCGGCAGTGTACATAGATCGAGACCCTGCTTTCAGATAGATTTATTCAAATGAACATCTTTGATGAATCACTTGAAAAAAAGACTACCAGAAGCTGCCCACATGGTGTTCAATCACCATTACTTTGGAACCTAGTAGTAAATAGCCTCATCAAACACCTAAATCACACAGGCTACTACACAAAGGCTATGCTGCTGACACTGTCATACTCCTCCTTGGTAAAATTGTCAAATTATGAAAAATGCATTAAGTTATGTAAGTAAATGGTGCATAAAGAGGGATCTGAAGGTGAGTACACAGAAAAACCAATCTTGTACCATTCATACTTAAAAGAAAATGGGATGGGCTTTTTTTAAATTATTATTTTATTTATTTATTTATTTATTTTTTATTCCAAAACTCTTTGAATTCCAGATCAAAAGAGCTCTGAGATGAAGTATTTAGGATTATACCTTGACTAAAAGCTCACCTGGAATAAACATATAGATTATAAAATTAATCAAGCAAAAATAATGAATCATGACGTGCAGATGTATGCATGGCAAAAATGGGCATTTACAGCCAAAAATGATGTTTTGGATGTATATTGCAATTATCAGACTTATTATTACTTATGCCTCAGTAATCTGGTGTGCACGGTGGCTGTGAAGGTCAGGCTAGGAAGTCTGCAAAGATTGGTCTGCCCGTGTATCACAGGTGCAATGCCCTCAGCATCTACCAGGGCATTAGAAATCATATTAGAGTTGATTCCCTAGGACATCTTCATTTGCAATGTTGATAGAATGACTGGGTATAGAATGATGCAGAATCAATGGCATGACAAGGCTACTGCTAAAGATCATATCAGTATTGCTAAGAAAATTCATGATCCTACTCTCCTGATGCCTTCAGACATCATGGAAATGACTTAACGTGTTTGACAGACCATTCGAGGTAGTTTTTCCTACTAGGGATAAATGGAATGACAACATGTTCAGTTGTTCAATTTAAATACGATGATCTAATCTGGATCAAAGAAAGACAACCTCTCAGGACTGGGAGTACATGGTGTATCACCCAGAATTAATCTCTGTGGAGGTCTCCGGGGCATATGCCACTGTCTTCCAAGCAAAGGTTCTCGCTATTACTAACTGTCTACAAATAAATATAAGGAAAGGCTACCAAGGTAAAGTGGATTCTCATTTTCTCTCAGTCAAGCAGACCTAAAGGCTTTATACTCATTTCAAATAAAATTAAAGTTTATTTTGGAATGCAGAAACCTTCTAAAGAAGTGGCAACCAGAAACAAGGTAATCCTAATCTGGGTACCAGAACATAAGGGAAATGAACGTAATGAAATGGCAAATGAACTTGCAAAACAGGGATCATCCCTTAATCCAATAGGCGTGAAACTCTTTTGTGGTATCGATACGAAGAGGGCAAAGAGTGTCTTCCTTAAATGGGAAAAACAGGAGAACTACTATTTCAGAAAACACCTTCATACTATGGGCCTTTTTCAACGAGACCCTAGGTGCTGAAAGAACAAGGAAAGAGCATGTCATATTATACATGAGTGTGATGCCCTTGTCTTCACTTGCTTGACTACTTTAGGTATTCTCAATACTAAAGAGTTACACCTGAGGTATATTAAAGGGCTGTCAGACTTTATAAACAAAATAGGCAACCCAAGCAAATGGAGCAAGGAGGCATTGGTTTTGGTGCATTTGACACAAAATGCTACTATTTAGCAGAGGTGTCCGATACCTGACAAATTTAACTTGAAGAAGAAGCTACATAATATGTTTTCGGTAGAGTAATCTGACAATCTGGATTCCTAAAGAGACACGTGGCAAGTGACCCTGGATAATTGAAGTTGCTCTTTTTAATGCACTATGATACACTGCAAACATGTTCTAGATTCATGTTATAACAGTAATTTTGTCACAGCAAAAAAAGCAAAATTCATGTGGGAGATCACAGAAAGTTCACAATTTGGGATTTATGCACAAATTTCACAAAAGATTTCACAGTTGATGAATTTAAAAATTAGTTATGCAAATAATTAATAAGTTTTAGACTATAAATATTTAGCTTTATGAAGTAGTCAGGTTCTGACACTGACATTAATGCAATTATTTCCATTTAAAGGACTGACATTTTCATAAATTATATTATATGTATATAGATTTTTTATATCTTAATGCAGTGTTTATTACCCTGCAATATACTTTTAAATTTTAATAAAAGATACCATAGTATCAGTATTCTTTGTGGGCAATGACCTAATGACATGGTGACTTTATGTAGTCCAGGGAAACAACTGTTCAAACTTTCCTTGAAATGTAAAATTCTTTTACATAAAGTAAATTTAAGTAATGGTTTTTCTTTATCTTCAAATGAAGAAACTGTAAAAATTAAACAAATCTTCATTGTTTTTCTAAAGAGTCCAAGTATTTAAACTAATCCAGATAAAACATATAACATTTAAAAAATCTTGTAGCTTGTTGAAAAAAGTGATGCTTTAAATTTTCAAATAAAAATGCTAAATATTTTTCTACATCACATTAACAGAATTCATTTAACAATTTAAGTTTCAATTTCAAGGTTCAAGATTCCAATTTATATTTTGGAGTTGGAAAAAAATTTCAATACAACTTTGTGCATAAATTCTAATGAAATATTACATTACTAATTAAATCAATTAATATAAATATTAAAATGATCTAAATTTGAAAAATTATTCGATAGTTATAAATGTAATTCGAAAATAGTATATAAAAATCTGACATTCACAAATTTATTTGATGATCATGAAAAAATTTGGCTTTTCAGAAAATCTTCAGAAATACGCAAAATTATCTGCAGAAATTCATGCTGTAATTAAATTATATTTAATTATGTTTGATTCTTTGAGGGACTACCTGTTAAAAAATCTTATAAAAGAAGTCTATTTATATTAGGCATCCCATATAAAAATTAATAACCAAAATACAAAATTCTGATCATAACTCAAAAAAGATTTCTAAAAAGAAAATAAAATGGATTGTAAAACTAATTATTAGAAAAATGTTTCAATATATGTCAATAAAAGGAACAAAAAGAAACTTACACATTTTTCAAGAATGTAATATAATCATTCCAAATTGGATAGGACATAATGTCCATACCCATCTTCTCTAAAGCAAAATCATATGCTTGAGCCATTTTTTCTCTGTAAATACATTTTATTTTAATAAATAAAAAAATCTATAATAATTTTCAATGAAATTCAAAAGTTTTTAATGCAAAACGAACTTGATAGCATCTATACATAAGTCACATTAACTATTAGATATTTTTCATGAGGTACAGTAAAATGTAAGTTTGTAAAGGATTTAATTTTTCCTACTAAAATTTTTAATTAAACAAGATTGAAAATTTAACTTCAATTCTTAACTGTCCAGTTTTTAACTACAATGTATTTTGCTTGTATCTAAGTTCCAAAAGAAATAAAATAACAAACTTTATCCTAAAAAAAATTGATTAATGTTTAATATTAGAAAATAAATTGAAGAAAAAAATATTATCAGAAGCAAATATATTATATTATTCACTTAAAGTTACAGCAACAGTTATAATAAATTTTAACATATGAGTATGGAAGAAATGCCTTCCCCCCAAAAAAAAGACAAAAAATTTTTTATTACTTTTAACGTTAAAAGTTATATTTAAAAATCTAATAAATCTAAAAAATTAAATATTTAAGATATTGTCAAGAATAAAACAAAATTAAAATAATAAAATATCCTTAATAAATACTTTGATATAAAATTTTGGATTCTGTTTAATATTAGAACATAAATTGAAGAAAAAATATATCACTAAGCAATATATTATATTATTCACTTAAAGTTACAGCAACAGTTATAATAAATTTTAACATATGAGTATGGAAGGAATGCCTTCCCCCCCAAAAAAAAGACAACACATTGTAGGGTTTATATTTATTTTAACTAACATTTATTTTAAGTTTAAACTATCTTTCCTGTCAAGCCTTACTTTCCCCTGGAACTGCCAATGCCAGAATATGTAAATTTTAGTAGAACGCGCAAGGATTCAAATTATCAGCGGAAGTATTATGATTTAAATAGGAAGGAAACAATTTCGGTGTGTGTCTTCCTTCACAGCGCGCGAGGTATTAGCGAGAAAATTGAAGACCCCGCGTTTCGGCCTAGGTGCTTGGCGGGAAGTAGTGTTAATCGTTCAAGTGAGCTTCACCTGCTGAATTAGCAGCGGTGTTGTAAACGCGGTGATTTAGTTATTTTAGAGAGCCTCGTAGTTAGAGTCTTGTCTTTAAGTTCTTTTCAGGTTATTATTTTTTATTTGACCGCCGAGTTGGCGCCGTCTGTAAGCGTCAAGAGCACGCAATTGTAATTTATTACGTTGAATAAAAAGGGACTTAAACCCTTTACAAGACTCTGTGTTTTATCCTGTTTCACAGTCACCCTTGGTTGCGTGCAAGTTGAGGCGCGCAACGTTACAACATTTTTATTACTTTTAATGTTAAAAGTTATATAAAAAAAAAATCTAATAAATAAAAAAAATAAATATTAAGATATTGTCAAGAAATAAACAAAATTAAAAATATAATATTAAATAAATACTAAAATTAGTTCTATGTTAACTTCTCTATCATAAAATCTGAAGCACATTAACCATTATATATTACCTATATGAAGGTAGGGATCCTTTAGTCTCTTTTACATAACTTAAATAAGTCCTCCACAAATCAATATTTAAAACTTTAACAAGGCATCGAGTAAACAACTGAAATAAGAAAAGAAATTATTAGAACAAATGCATAATCTGCTTCTGCAACATATTTGTTTTTTACATATTAATATATTTCAGGAAAAGAATTTTTGTTTAGTATGAAATAAACTCATGTATGAAAAGTAAATGTGGCAAATAACAATCTTTCTTTTACATCTTTAACTTTCTTTTACACATTTAAATTCACAGCTGCTATACAGAAATACATTATGCAATAATACATATATGTTTCAAAGTTGTATATTATATGTGTGTCTTAAACACTTTGTCAAAGTGTTTTAATTAATTTAATGTTAATTCAAACTGTTACTTAATGAAACCGAATAATCTTTCAATGAATAGTATGTTCTAATAAATTAAACTTCACTGATTGCCCAATAATGAAAATTCACAAGAATGAACAAACTACCACCCTCCCCCCCTTTTTTTTTTGGTGATCTTGGATAAACTTATTTACACACTGAAAATATCTATGTATAATATATACTTCTTTTTCAAGCAAGAAATGCTGAAGGAGCAGCTTGAAATTCTTCTTCCATTTCTTCTTAAATTGGGCCATTCTGAGTGGTATGATGGTTTGCAAAGGCTGAATGAAAGTGCCAATGGACTCCGATGCGGGTATAACTAAGCATGATCATTTCCTAATCTATCATCTAGCATGGAAGAATTTATCATTTATCATTGCTAAATTTATCATATTTTGCCTCAAATTTATCATTGCTAAAACGTTGTTGAGGGATTGGTAATTAAAAAAAAAAAAAAAAAAAAAAAAAAAAGAAAGAAGAAGAAGAAGACGACAGCACGGTAAGGTATAGGACCCTTGGATTCTATGCTCCTTTAAGGTGTTATCTATGAAACCTGAATACAGTTTAAATAGATAGATCTCGTGTGTTTAACTAAACTGAGTAATTATGTGCAGTCCTTTAAAATTTTCTAAAATATCATGACATGGGTGATAGGTGTTTTAAATATTCACGGACTTAAACCAGTTCTCCAGGATTCTAACAGAAAACAAATTTCAGAATTTTTTAATGCGAATAAATATGTCATAATCTCATAGTATATGACACTACTTCAGTTTCAGTATAAATAGCTCTAATCGGAAGATGGGTGTGTGAGTGTTCTTGCTGAAAGACTACTAAATACACATACATTTTATACTAGATGTTCAGAACTAATGGACAAACATTAAATAGTGGAACAGCAAAGTTTACAATAATTGCTCAAAATTTCTGCAAAAAATTATCACAGAAGTAATTGAAATTTACCCTATTATCTTGGAAATGGCAGTGTATTGCTACAACTGATCTATGTAATTATTCCGTGTACATAAATAAAAACAAACCAAGAAATTTCAAAAACATAACTTACATTTGATAATTCATACTTGTGCTAAGGCTGTTCGCAAATTTTTAAGCCGATTTCCACTGCATTTACAGAAATATTTTACCTAAATTTTTTGTGTTGTTAATGTTCCATTTGATAACAATTATTCTTCACCAGCTTTCTACACCATAATTTCGAAGATAATAAAGCTTTTTTTCGGTACTTTTCCATTCTGCCGGCGCAGGCGATAAAGCCGCCAATAATGGTACAACTAATGCCAAAAGGAATATCCTCGCTGGTAACCTTTTATGCCTCATTTTCAAAACAAGTCGCAGCCATTTCTTATGAGATTGATTGGTTCTTTCAATACTGGCATACAATTACATAGATTTTTTACCTGATAGTACAATTTTATGCCCTAAGGCCATTCGCGGTAAATAAGTCAATTAGAATGCAATCACACCGCTCCCGCAAGGCGAAAATACAGCAAAGGCAAAGTCAAGGATTAAATTCAACAATTCTAATGAGAATACACTAGCGAAGAAAAACTTCTTTCTTTAAATTTGCTGGTAAAGCTTTTTCTTCACTTTGATGGTAATAAATGGATCTCTATTGCTGTCATTTAAATACATCCTGGAAATTCATCTATTGTGTCAAAATAATTTTTTCATTTTTGTCCGAATAATTGTTTCTCATAGAGAATTTTGCAGCGCGTTCTGCTTTCGGCTGTACATTGTGGAGATCTACGATACACATTACGATTTTCTCATTCTTAAGATTCAAATCAGCATCAATCGCTTTGTTTACAGTTGAAACTGAGTATTTTAATAATTATGAAATTCTCCTTTGGACTTGGAAGATTTTCTTTTAGCATTAAAGTTCTTCGAAAAGAATACAAACATAGCCTTCCATCTATTGCTTTTTTAAAAGCACCATTTTGCATGAAAACAAAATTCTAAAATAGCAGACGATAATTTGCACTTTCAAAAATATGGTTGCAGTTACAAAAATTTTTCCAAGCAGGCGATTTTTTTAATAGCAAAGCAAAGTTGTCTAAAAAAGTGTGAACAGCCTCCGTACACATAGAAAATAATATACTTCCATTTGGAAATATAATTTAATATTAAACAAATTAAAAAGCTACATTACCTTTTCAACTCTCTCATAATTTCTTGATTTCATCTGCAAAAACAATACACAATTAGAAGGTAGAACCAAAATGTTATATTAATTTGAAATAAATATTTAGCAAAAATATATTATTGATTTGCCATTTCCCCCCCCACACACACATTTGTAATATTTTGATTACTATTTTATTCCTGTAAATAATTAGAGGCAGATTAATGGGGCCGCCAATGTAGGAATCGTGAAAGGTTTCGCATTACAAGGAATCCCTACATCATTAAAACAGTAAACATATCTTTTGCCCTAAAAAACAGGATCCCCAATCATTAAGCACCTCCCACTTTATTAAATCCAAACTGCAGACAATAAATAATTTTCTTCTGATAAACTTATTTCCACAGAGCTAATAATTATCTATCCAGTTCATTTAAAACAGGCATGCATGTTAATGTTATAAGGTATTTTCTCCTTCCTTTCGGCATGCCTATGTGGTGCAACGGTCAGCACACTCAGCGCGTATTCAAGAGGTCCAGGGTTCGAGTCCTGGGGAGGGTACTGCTCATTTTTCATTTACTCCTGCTTCAAAATAATCGTAATAACGCTATAGTGGCACTCGACTAAAAAGATGGTGAATGATGATTTTTCACCACGAGGACTTGGCGACTGGGTCTCCTAATCCCCAATCGCTTTTTAAAAGGGGAAGTACATAAGGCATTTTCTCCCTCCTTTCTGCATGCCTTCGTGGTTGGCACGCTCGGCACGTATAGGTAGGGTTCGAGTCCGGTGATGGCGCTGCACATTTTTCCCGTCTTCTGCTTAAAATAACCTATTGACTTTACAATCTAACTACTTTCCTTAAACTGTAGTAACAAAGTCATGACTTCTTATTGAAATTCTATTTTTAAAATTATGGTTTTTATCAAATAACTCTTAACTATCACATTAATAAAAATCCTTAAATAATTGGTGAAATTCGGTCTTAAGTTTACTAAATTGTGTGCTTTGTTTTTCAAAATGCACTGAAAATTTTGGATTAACAAAAATTTAAGATTAAATAATATTGATTATAAAACTTCAAACGTTTTTTAGCCCACAATGGCTATTAGTCTCAAAGCGCGATTTTTCGTTGCTACACTTTTTTCATCCGAGTCCGATGACATTTCGCAAAATGCAAGATATTTATCCTTCAAATTTAATCCGTCTGCTATTGAAGAAAAAACTAAGATATTTGGAGGGGAAAGAAAAAAAAAAATCAGCTTAGCCGCACTTAAACAACTTTTAAATTCTCGATAATTCTACAACTATTGCATGCAGCTTAATTAAAGACATAGAAACCTTAACCAAATGATAGGAACAACATAATTCAATAATTTGTAAAGCAAAAAATGAGCAATTTACCAGCATATAAGAATAAAAAAAATTGAGCTCACTGAGCCTAGTAACAGAGTGGGTATAATATATATATATATATATATATTGATATATTTGTGAACTAATTTTTCACAAAGACCACAAATTTGAAAATTATATTATATCAATTATATTACATATATATATATATAAAATTACAAAAGAATTTTTAAAAAACAAAATAGAAACATGCCTGGTAAGACATTAGTTACTGCCAAGAAATATAGAACTAATTTTTCACAAAGACCACAAATTTGAAATTCATATTTATAAATTTCAAATAGTTCTATAAATACAATAAATAATTTTTAAAATGTTAAAAACCAAAACTTTTCAAATAAGCAATATCCCAATTCAAACAATTAAGGAAATTTAAAGAAAAACGAACATAGTAGAAGAGGAAATCGATTAAAATCTCTCTTCCACAAAAATCCTTCCTTTTCTGTATCCATTTCAATGTATTTTAATTATAATACGTAGTTCACCGAAAATTCTGGCCCCTCTCCAAAGCAACGAAAAAATAAATTCTTATCAGAATCTTGTGCCTTAAATAATAAAATACTTCAGTGAAAAATTTAAATCAAATTTTATTTTTAAACAGACAGCACATAATTCCAAGAATTCAAAACGCAAGTGAAATTATAAAACTTTAGTGAAAAGATATACATTTCGTGCGGCCGATTGCCCAAAAAGGGGGGTGCACAACTACATGCTATAGCAGTACTATATATAACATTTCAACGTTCTGAGAATACTCGTTTTTGAGTTATACGAGATACATACATACATATGTACGTACGTATCATCACGAAGAAAACCTCTTCTGAATCCATTTTAAATTCTTTTTGCAAGCCATTTTGGGAAAAAGAGTTCTTTATTATGTTCTTACATACAGATATCACGCCAAAACATCGTTAAATTGCATTCGGTAGCGGTCAAAATGGATACTTTCGTTGAAATACGACACCGGAAAATTTTCGCGATTACAGTACTTCTTTTACTTTGTACCCTGGATGTCCTAAGCAAGTGTTTATATTGTTTAACCCAGCCCTGCTGTTGATAAACCCTATTAAATTTTAAAAGAGCCCTTTTCGGCGGACGTTAATATCTGAATCTTTCGGATTTTTTTTTTTTTTCGTACATTTTTATGTTGAATTTTTAACCAATTTTTATGTTGAATTCATTTAATGAAGATAAATCATTTTCCATAATATTAAGAAAATGGAGGGAAAAAGAGAAAAAAACGACTATATGTAATTAATAATTTCTCACTTTAACGCAGTTTCGATTAACAAGTTTTTGAATTTTACTTCATACAATTGATACAATTTTTTATATCGAAAGTATAATTACAATTGAACAAAATACATTTTACGAAGTGGACCCTTGATTTCAAGAATTTACATGTATGTCTTCGACAAATAAGTCACTGACAAAACCAGAAGAGATAAACGAAAGCAAAGCTCTAACATAGAAAATAATGTATATGTTACGGTGAAACACCGAAATCTGGAGAATGCCGACTTTCACCGGTGAATGTCAACATTCACATAGTCGCTTGGAGTATTTCCGAAATATTTTCCAAATACTCTTATTTCTGACTTAACCGGTCAATGTCGACATTCACCATGTACTAATAGTGAATGTTGAACATATAACAATATTATATTTTCTTCTCCGTCATTCAGTCGCGAATAAACGCACTTGAAACTGGAAAATAAGAACATGAGAACCTAAAACACACAGTACATTCAAAATGAGAAGGAAAATAAGAGAAGTTAAAACTTACTTAATTATACGTACGTTCTAAATGAAAAATAAAATAACGTCATAAAAACTACTAAATTAGTGATCAAATCTTATTATTGCAACAACTAAACTATTATGGACTTTATGACCTCTCTTTTCGACTTTCACCAGAGCATATCTGTGATTGCGACATACACCGTGAGGGTCCGAATATACAAGAATGTAGTGAAATATTCGGTCTTTCACCGAGTAATTTGGTGATATGATATCTCCGGTGAATGTCGACTTCTCTCCAATTTCGGTCTTCACGGTAAACATACAAGGGTTGGACAAAAATATGGAAACACCTTTAAAAAACATTTTCTTTGCTTATATGGTGTAGGAACCCGTTGGCTACAAAACATCTTGGAGTCTACTCGAAATGGATACGTATGCTTGCCAAGGAATTATACCATTCTCCTGCAAAACGGTGGCAAGTTCAGATAACGATGTTGGCGGTGGATAACGAGAACGCACTTTACGTTCCAATGTACCACAAAGGTTCGATAATATCAGGTCTGTGACTGTGGTGGCCAGGGAATGGGACAACTCATCCTCGTGCTCAGAAAACCAGTCTGGACAATGTGAGCTGTGTGAACGAGGCTTTGTCGTCTTGGAAGACACCATCACCATCGGGAACAAAGTTTGTACCATGAGATGAACTTGATGGGCCAAAATGTTCACATAAGTCTTGGCAGTCAGTGCCCTGACACAGTTATCATGGGGCTAGCAGAGAACCACGATATGGCTGCCCAACCTAACAGAACCCCCCCCCCATATTTCATTCTTGGCAACAGCAGTCTGTATTATGCTGGAGATGGCGTTCTCCAGACGTAAACTCGGCCAGAAGTGGGAAACAATGTGAAAGAAGACTCGTCAGACCATATTACTCGCTTCCACTGCTCTATAGTCCAGGCTTTCTGACTTAAACACCACCTTTTCTTTTTAGGGCATTAGCATCACTGAGATTGGCTTCTCATTGCAGCCGGCCAGCAATTCCCTGTTTATGAAGCTCCCTTTAATTGTTTTGGTACTCACAGGGTTCGGTAACGCAACATTCATTTCAGCAGTAACTTTTGCAGCTGTGGTCTTCTTATTTTTCATCACATTGCCCTTAATGATTGTCTGTCACGATCATCAGGACACACTTTCGTCCGCGCTGTGATTTACAATGATTTTTTCCGCTTTTCAAATATGCGGAATAATCTTCGATACAGTACCTCTTGAACACTAAACACCCTGGCTACCTTGCTTACGGAAGCACCTACCAACGGTCTCCAACAATGGCCCACGTTCGAATCTGTTAACTCTGTCATAATGCAATGACAACCTCACTAACAGTACTCCGACAACAACTGAACTGTTTAGCACATTTACGAAGTTGTATGGTGCATCAGTAGCCAAAAACGCCAACACCACCTACATATTTCATTAAAATCAATCTTTCTTTTCAAACATGCATTTCACAAGGTGTTTCCATATTTTTGTCCATCCACTGCATATTTATAATGAGGGCTGTCTGAAAAGTTTCCGACCTCGACGGCAGCTCAAATCAACCGAAATGGGGTGGGGGAGGACTTCTTTGGGCATCAACTGATAACTAACAATCAAAATCTAAGCTTTTTTGAACGCGAATTGTTTGTTTGACAGTTAGTTTTGTGAGCTGATGTGACCCTTTTTGCAAAAATGGAAGAAGTCGAGTATCGTGATGTCATTAGATACTTGTTTTTGAAAGGTAATACGCCTACTCAGATTAAAGAGAAGTTGGTCATAGTGTACGAGGACTCTGCACTATCATTTACTACTGTGAAATTTTGTTTGGGCAGCTGAATTTAAACATGGCCGTACCAGCTTAG